TGTGGTAGGAGGAGGGCAGATGGGAAAAGAAGTAGAGACCTCTAGTGAATGATGAATTAGAATTAATGGGCACAGAAAGTACTGCAAGTACAGCAATTGTTTATTCCTCCTTTCCCCCTTTATATTCTTTTTCCTGAAAACATGCAGGGATTATGTATGAAGTGTAGCTGTCACAGCTCTCCCACAGCCCTTGAAATCGTTGTCTGACAGCATAGAAGGCTTCAGCAGCTGAACAAAGAGGCACGAGACAGAGCTCTTGTACGGTGTCCGTCCCCCTCCCTGGCACCTGGCCTGCTCGGCACGACTGGGAACGACAAACGCCAAGCGATCCCTTCCCATTCAGCTTCTCCTGCTAACTTTGTTTTTCACATGAAAGAGGTTTTGTACTTACCATGTTTGTCATCCTGCCACGTAGCTTTTCTTTTGCCTGTTACAGTTTGTCTCAGGTGAAGGTACCAGAAGTGTGCTTTGTTTTGGAGAAGCAGAGACACCATAAATCGTACAGGGGCAAGGTTGGGCTTTTCTCTCCAAACTGTGCTAAACTTTGGAATTTTTTTTTTGCCTGCCATTCAGCAGTGGGGTCATATATTCATAGAACAAGCTGTTACAATGTTGAGATGCATTTCCTAAATTGTGCAAACTAGCTCAGTGCCCATCACTCCCCGTGTAAAGTTAGTGTCTCTTTTTGTGGATAGCCAGATTATGGTTGTCAGGGCTGAAATTTATCTTCCACTTTGTCATGAGGCTTGCTCAGTGTTGTAAGATCTTGAAGTTTTTTGTAGTAAATATTATCCTAATTAATTTAGTTTTTATCAGAAATCATCTTCACTGTTCCACCAACTTTCCAAATCATTCCTGAGCACATTGAGCACCATGGACCATAATCTCCGTGGGACTCCCCTGATGATCGTCTTCTACTGTGAAAACTCATCCTTTAGTATAATCTTCTTTTTCCAGTACTAAATTCTTATTTAACTCTGTGAGGTCCTCACCTGCAGTCCCTGGCTGTTTAGTTTATTTAAGAGCCTTTGATGGGACCTTCTTTGCATGAGGCTTCTGGAAGCTTGGGGTGAGTTGGAAATGCAGGGAAAATTTCTCAGCTGGAGCTCTGCTATTTACATGCTTTTGAGTCCTTCAGAGAATTCCAGCAGATTTAGGAGGCTCAGATTCCTTTTACAAAAGTCATGTTTACTTTTCCCTAACATGTTACTTTTATTCATGTGCTTGCTAATTCTGTTCTTTGCCACAGCTTCAGCCAATATGACCCAAATGGACATTAAACTTAGTGATCTGTGGTTTCTTGAATCGCCACTGGATTTATTTAAAAAACCCGATTTCTTACTCGTTACCTTCCAGCCCTTTGAAAATCACAGCAATTTTCAGCAAAAGGTTACATACATACTGAAGGTGTTAGGTCAGATGATTCATATTTAACATTCAATAAAAACCTTGCTTGAATTCCATCCATGCCCAGTGATATGTTGTTATTCATTTTATCTGGTCTGTAATCTCCACTTAACACCCTGAAATTAAGACAAGCCTTCTCTGAAGGCCTTACAAACAAGGTGCTGGTTGGAGAGTTTTCAAGGTTCTCCAGGTGAACAGAGATTTTGGAAAAAAAAAAAAAAAAAGTGCTTGGGATTTTTTTGTGATGGCATCATCTTTTCTGAGCCTTCTTCCTCACACTGACTCTTCCAAGGCTTCTTGCTCTTGATGTGTTCAGGAAGGATTTATAGCATACTTTTCTATTTCTTTAGCAAACTGCTTCTAAACTCTTTCTTCAGTCTATGTTATTGTGCTTTTACATTTAGTCTGCCAGAATTTATGTTCTTTTTAGTTTTCCTTTTTCAGACACAACTTCAGCTTTTTGCAGGATACCTTTTAACTTCCAAGAGCCTCCCTGATCCTGCTGTTTTATGATGCCAGCTTTTTGTTTTCCTCTCAAGTCTTTTTTTTTTGACAGGTTATATGCATTTGCTTTGAGCCTCCAATATAGAATCCTAAAATAGTCTACCTGCCATCTGAAAACATTTTACCTTTCTGGCTGCCACTCTGAGCGTTTTCTTTAACAAATTTCCTCATTTTCGAATTCCCTTTCTCTGGAATCAAGCACAATCACTGCATTTGCCAACATTTTTCATTTCAGAGGATGCAGTCATGAATCAGCTAAAAGGATTAAGGGGTTTGGCCCAGCCCAGTCTCTGGGAAGCCTACAAATATCAGCCATTAACATTTCACTAATGTTAATTTACCTGATTTCATTAACTGAGAAGCAGGGAAGGAAGCAGCTTGCCAAGGCTGGTGATGGTGGGAATTCCTGCCCTGGAACAGCAGCTTCTCTCTCCAGCCTACAACAGACAAAATGACAGGTAATTGGGGGAAAAAAATCAATCTGAGCTGATTTCTCACCACGTCACTGAAGTTTGGTACTAACTAGCATGAGTGATTTGGGGCAGAGTGAGCAGCAGAGTCAGGATGACAATGTCCAGTTGTCACAGCAGCAAACACAGGAATGATCCAAATGGGATGGACAGTGTGTGAGTGCCAGTGGAGAGTCATGGAATCACAGAAGGGTTTGGGTTGGAAGGGACCTTGAAGACCATCCAGTCCCACCCTCTGCCATGGGCAGGGACACCTTCCACTAGCCCAGGTTGCTCCAAGCCCCGTCCAACCTGGCCTTGGACACTTCCAGGGATCCAGGGGCAGCCACAGCTTCTCTGGGCAACCTGTGCCAGGGCCTCCCCACCCTCACAGGGAAGAATTTCTTCCCAATATCCCATCTAACCCTGCCTTCTGGTAGTTTGAAGCCATTCCCTCTTGTCCTGTCACTCCATCCCTTGTCAATAGTCTCTCTCCATCTTTCCTGTCGGCTCCCTCAGGCACTGGAAGGCCACAGTTGGGTCACACTGGAGCCTTCTCTTCTCCAGGCTGAACAATCCCAACTCTCCCAGCCTTTCCCCACAGCAGAGCTGCTCCATCCCTCTGACCATCATGTTGTGGGGGACCACGTGAAAAGCTTTACAGAAGTCCAGATAATGGAGAGCTTAGAAGGCTTCATGACTTCAGTTCACATCTAACAAAATCTTGGGTATGATCTGACCGAAAAAAGGCCTAAGACTGATTTGGCAGAGGCTGGTTTAGGATGCAGTTCTTTTTGTGTCTCTCCAATGACAAACTACTCCTTGCAGTGAGCAGGAGCTACTTCCAGGCAGCTCCAAAGCTGTTTGGGATAAGGAGTCTTTGCCAAGCAAGGGTGACTAAAGCTTGCTCAGGTGAAAAACTCCTCTGAGGGTGAAAGGCAGCTCCACTCAGGTGCCACAAAGCACCTTTAATGTTGGGTGAGCCACCCCACCCCATTGCAGTGCCACTGCTGAGTGGCATTGACTGCTTAGCAACAGGGAGAGTGATGGGGATGCAGATGAATTGACTGTTTTCTGAGCAAGCTGGGTAGGAACAGAAGTAATTAGCTGCTAGCTGATGAAAAGGCATGCTTAATTATTAGTATAATTATAGATATAATAGACCAGGAATTATTCAGTAAAAGCAAGAAGGCCAATATGTTACGAAGAAGGTAATGGGAATGGAGGAGAAAATGACAGCAGTGTGAATTCTTGAGAGGAAATGTAAAGGATTAAGATGATAAATCAGGCATCTTTTGGGTTTCTACTCTCTGACATATCAACTCAATTTAACAGGGTACACAGAGCTAACGAGGTCTGTGGCGTGCATGATTTCTTTTATATAAGAAACCTTATATATGAAGTTTTATATAATGTTGATTTAACTGAATGTATGCCAGTGAAATTGAGCTGTGATTCCATAAATCTCAGAACCTGCACAATTTCACAAGGATCTTTGCTGTCCTTCCAGCAGTTTCCAGCCATTTAGTTTGATGGATCCTGCAGGAAGCTGGGCTATAGCTGGTTCTGATCAATATTGGTCATTGATTATAATGATTTGATAAGGCAGCACAGCTTTCCCCTGGCACCCTGAGAAGTCATGGTGACTAAGAAAGTGTTGTATTTGTCAGCTGCCCTGCCTGGCCACTGCAGCTCTAACTGCTTTCCATGAGAAAATGGCTGGAGATAACAGGCTGAACTGCACTAACAGGGACATCAGTTGTTAATACAGGATGTAGAATCACTGAAATGGGTAGTTTGGGAAGATTTCAAGTATTTTAAGATTTTTTTCTGATGTCAGAATGGACATAGGTAGGGCTACACCTGCCTTTGTGCCAGGGATTGGACTGGATACTAATGACCCCAGCAGTGTCTTCTGTAAGAATCTGCAGCTGAGAGGCCCAAGATGTCCACATTTTCTTTTCTAAAATTGTAGTAGTTTCTAAAATTATGTCGTTGGAAAGGGAGACTGGCACCAGCAGCTCTAATCTGGGTTCTGTGAGTCTGAAAGTAACGGTGCCAAAGGATTACACACCATTTTGCCCATTGTGCTGGGTGGGAGGGAAAATCAAGATACGAAGATTTTATTGAATTAGGATTCGAGGACTAATTATTAAAATGGCTTTTGATGAATGAGTTGTGAGTCAGACTGGTTTGGCAAATAGCATTTTGATAAGGTATTTGTAAGACAGATAGTCTTAAGATGGTAGGATGAACGTAAAACACTAACCTTAATGAAGACATTAATTCAAAAATGATGCAAATGTGCACGAGCAATTGCTGCGTGAAGGCACTGGGGGACATCAGGGCAAATTGGGTACAGACAAACTCTAATTGTCTTCAGCTGGGCACAGAATCATTGAAAAGTGAAGCTGGAAGAAATCTCAGCTGATCACTTATTCCATCTCCTCCTTCCACACACAGTCAGATGTGCTGATGATATTCTTGGCGTGTGCAGAGCGGTTGTTTCTCTTCCATTTTGTAGCAGACTTTGATCTGCTCCGGGACTGTTACTGCACTGATCCTGCTCTGTCAGGGCTGTTACTGCACCTTTCCATGGCATTCTCTCTTTTGAGCATGTTCTGTTCTCAGTCTCCTGATTCAGGTCATGTTTTCCAGCCCTCCAACCCTTCGTGTTGCTGCTTATCCTGTCAGAGGAGCAGCACCCAAAGCTGGATGTGCCTCTGCACTGAGGTGTCACTGAGAACACCAAAAGGACCTGCAAGATGTCTTGTAGGTAATTCTTCTGCTAATATGCCTGAGGAGTGTTTTCTCTCTGCTCAGACAATAACCCCTGTTCAGCTTGTTATCAGAACCTTTAGATTGGTTTTCTTTCCAGACTGCTCTCTGCCCAGCTGATGTCCATCCTGTATTTGTGCACTTTACTCCTGCCTAAGTGAAACCACAATGCTTTTTACCATTGAGATGGCTCCTGTATTTATAGAGTTGTCCAAGTTGTCAAAAGTTTCTAATACCACTCTCCCCCATATATTTGCAGCCACTCTTTGCAGATTTAATCTTGGCAGATTTAATAAACACACAGTCCATTCCCTCATCCAGCCTATCAATAAAATATTGAGTGGATCTTATGAACAGCTGAGTAACCATTCAATTTGTCCTTTGCATTTCACAGTGAACCATTGGAAACTGCTTTCAGACTGCAGATTCCAACCAGATTTGTGTCATGACTTCAGCCAGGGCATTCTTCACCCACGTGGGACAATGTCAGGAGCCTCAGTGACATCGAGGTGTGTGGAATCTGCTGCTTCTTCCTTACCCACAAAGTCTCATGCACTGGAGAGCAATATTAGACTGAATCAGCTTGTTTTGTTCCTGAGGGATTCATGTTGACAAGTGCTCATCTCCTTATTAGTTTCTATGTGCTTAGAAATCATGCTGATTATTCTGGTGATTTTTCTGTTCCTGGGTGTTAAATCTTTTGGTATCTTGCTTATTCTGTTTGACTTGTAGCTGACCGTGAGTGTGTTCCAGTGTAAGAACTTTGCGGACAGTTGTGAAGGCAACAGATACAAACCTTTCACCTTTCACCCTGTGCCAAATGTGAAACTCCTGTGATAAAGCACAGAGACACAAGTGGTTCTCAAGGGAGTGGTGGAAGGAATGTTTTGGCAAAAAGAAGTTATTTTATTTCAGTCTGAGAAATGACGATGCACATCAGTGTGATTTAAAAAAGAGATTTCGGGGTAGCATGGGAGAATTCTGAGCAGTTTAAACTACAAGTCTGAACAGTCTTGTAGAAGTTGTCTTGTAGATTAGATATTAGGAAGAAATCCTTCCCTGTGAGGGTGTGGAGGCCCTGGCACAGGTTACCCAGAGAAGCTGTGGCTGCCCCTGGATCCCTGGAAGTGTCCAAGGCCAGGTTGGACGGGGCTTGGAGCAACCTGGGCTGGTGGAAGGGGGGTGGTAGGAGAGTGGAATCTTTAAGGTCCCTTCCAACCCAAACCCTTCTGTGATTCTATGATAAATATGGTCAGGGTCACGTAAAAGAAGTTGGGAAACCTAGTTTTGGGTTGCACTGACTTCTTTGCCTATAATAGATTGATAGTGAACATCTAAGAAAACAGAAATAGAGATTAGACTAAATTTCATAACCTTTTAACCCAGAGAGCCTGGATCTCCTCTGCAAAGTGTCTTCTGCACTCTCATAAACTCACAGTGTTGACATGAGCTTATTCACAGCACAGGGTGACCTTTGCACAGCTCAGCCAGCAGTGCCTGTGTGCTGAGCTTTAGTATCTCCTCTCAGTGCACACACGTGACTGCAGGGTTGATCTTCCCAAACCAACGTGTTATGCTGGGTCCTGTAGCACTTCTGGGGTGTTTGATCCTGTGTGGATGGGAAGTGGATGTATATTTATGTGAGCACTCCTGTGTATGAGTCAAGGGAGAAAAGATCACCATAGGAATGGGTACGAATGATTTGTTGTTATTCAGAAACATTGATTTTGCCTGAATTCGATATCTAAAAAGGGTCAAAAAAATACCACCCAACAAACTCTTACCTGTGTTGTGCATTAACAAGGCTTTGGGTCAGTACCTTTCCTGCTGTGCTGTTATGTAGAATTATCATCATGGTCATGCCTTGAGTTGTTTGCAAGAATCACAGAATGCTTTGGGTTGGAAGGGACCTTAGACATTCCACCCCCTGCCATGGGCAGGGACACCTTCCACTATCCCAGGTTGCTCCAAGCCCTGTCCAACCTGGCCTTGGACACTTCCAGGGATCCAGGGGCAGCCACAGCTTCTCTGGGTAACCTGTGCCAGGGCCTGACCACCCTCACAGGGAAGATGGAACTGCTGGCAGAGGAGGGAAATCAACAGTGTCATCAAACTCCCAAAATAGAGGCAGCTGTATTCCATGTTGGCTGCAGGAATATTGAAAAGTGGACAAGGAGCCTGTTACAACTCTTCCTCCTCTGCCTCCTTTATTCCTGATCTTTTGCAATACAGATCCCCTTCTGCTTCCTGGTCCTTTGAGCTTAAGGAGCTGTAGCAGTATTTCAGATGTCATTTGTGTGGGGAAAGATTCCTTGCTCACTGGTATCCTTTGCTTTTTTCGTGTGCCCTCCACAGGCAGGGTCGGGAATGTTCTTGGTGATAAGCAGACACATGAGAATGCTCTGAGGAGAGGGGTGCAAGGCAGTGCAGATTTACAACACTGAGGTGAGTCAGTTCTGAACAGTGAGGGCTTTGGAGTATTAACTCCCAGTGACTTCCACTACAAGGCAGCTGTTAACATATTACTATGAATTGGCTTGGAAAAAGAAAAAAAGATTAAAATTGCATAAGTAGATAAATTTTAAAGAGACGGAAATAATAATGACATGAAAATTGGCTGAAAGGGCTGACTGACAGTAACAATGGAACATTTTAAAAATAAATGGGTAGCCGGGAAAGGGTGCAGGGAGACATTGCTGCCTGGAGATCACAGAGCCACCTCAGCCTGACAGTTTCTATGACTGCAGGAAACAGAGAGACACAGCCAAGCCCCCGCTCTCTCCCAGCACATTATCCTGCACAGCAATCAGGTTCAGTAACAGGCTGCTGAGGAAAAGCCTCCCACTATTTAGTATTCATTAGAGATGGCATTTTTCAGATTGCAGCACAGGGTGTAAACAAGCCACGCTGGAGGAAGAGGGGAGCACAGCATTTCTCTGAGCTCTGAGTTATTTCTTATTGATAGTCACCAACTCCACAAACCTATGGCAGCACCAGTTTTAAGCAGGGAAAGTAACTCTCGAGCCAACCCCATTTTCCAGCGTTCTTGCAGGAAGCAACACGGCAGGAGGCAAACCACAATTCCTGCAGTAGGACAAGCATGTGGCTCCCTTGTGGGGCTGGAACATCTGGCAGATTTGTTTCTGTGAGTCATCGTGGCTCTGCAGCCTGCCTGGGATGTGCCAGCTGCCTGCTTGATATTCCATTTCCATTGCATTTTGTAAAGCTTGTCTGTGGGAGGAGGGAGCCTGTCCCCATGGGCAGGGTCCTGCAGGATTGGGACACCTGCAACTGGGAGCAAAAGGCTGCCTGGACACACCAGTATCCCAAGTACTTCAAATGTGACCAACTGCTGCCACATATGAGTCAGCAGTGCCCTGGCAGCCAGGAGGGACATCCCTGTCCTGAGGGCACCAGGGAGGGGATTGTCCCGCTCTGCTCTGCCCTGAGGTGACCTCACCTCAACATTGGGGGAGTTTGGGGGGACACAATGGAAGGAAGAGATTGAGCCATTGGAGAGTGTCCAAAGGAGGGACACGGAGATGGGGAAGGGCCTTGATTTGAAGGCATGGGAGGACACTGAGGGCACTTGGTGTGTTCAGCTGGAGAAGAGGAGGCTGAGGGGAGACCTCAGTGCAGTTCCAACTGCCTGGGCAGGGGCAGAGGAGGGGCAGGGACTGAGCTCTGCTCTGGGGGGACCAGGGACAGCAGCCAGGGAATGGCTGGAGCTGTGTCAGGGCAGGCTCAGGTTGGATCTCAGGCAAAGGTTCTTCCCCCAGAGGCTGGTTGGGCACTGCCCAGGCTCCCCAGGGCAGTGGGCACAGCCCCAAGGCTGCCAGAGCTCCAGGAGGGTTTGGCTGATCCTCTGGGGCACAGGGGGTGACTCTTGGGGCTGGGCCTGTGCAGGGCCAGAGGTTGGACTGGATGATCCTTGTGAGTCCCTTCCAGCTCAGCATATTCTGTGACCCACGTGTGGGATGACACAAGCCAGTGACAGCCTGGTGAGCTGTCCTGCCCTGCAGAAGAGGTGCATGGCCCTCACTGCATCCCATGCTGGCCCTTCTTTTTTTGGTGGAAGGTTGTTTTTTCCAAGGAGCTGGATGCCAGCTGCCCCAAAAAGATACCCGGGTGCTTTTCCATCATCCCTGAGTCACTGGTTCCCACAAGCCATAAGGTGCTGAGCACTGCAGGGCTGGGAGCTGTGGTGTGGGGAGCTGTGTGGTGTAGTGTGGTGTGGTGTGTACTCCTGGGCTCTCACCCCAAGCTCTCCACGGCCTCCCCAGAGCCTGCCTACAAAATCCAGTCCTGGAATGCTGAGGAAAGGCCACGTGTGACAGCTCTGCTCCAGACACTGCCTGGGTGAGTGCAGGGAGCCTGCAGTTACAGAAGGTCTTTCTAGCTCCCTTCTCTGAACGAGCGAGTTCACATCGTTCTGCTGACACAGGTCCATTCCTGCCTTTGAATATGAATTTTCCTTTGGGATTTCTGCATTCCCTCCCTGTCTTTTACCTGGCCCTAGACAGCCTCCTGCCAGGCCCTTTTGTAGCTTGGTGCTAGAGGTTCCTCTGCCCACCTCTCCCAGCATCCAAGTCCCTGCTCCCTGCAGAGCCCTCCCCATCCTTCCCCTTCCAGCTGGAGGTGCTACACATCCACAGCTTCCCTTTTTTGGAAAAGCCTTGATGGATACCTCTCATTTTTCCCAGAGGGATTCATGAGAATATCTTAGGAGTATTTGATTTCCCCCCAACCACCTCACTGTAATACCTCACTTAAAAATGGGACCTATTCAAAAGCAGGGGAGCTTCTTAAAAGGAAATTAAAAGCAGCTGCTTTAAGGATGAAGAAGATGAGAAACTAGATAAAACCACCCTATCTGAAGCTCAGAGCAATATATCACTAAGTGAAATAATTCTACAAGGGACCAAAAGGCAATATTCTAACAGCAGAGTGGAGGAGAGTGTTCGAAATCAGGGATTTCTGAGCAAATAAAGAAACTATTGGAAAAAAATTTAAAAAAGCATTAACTGTGAAGCTAAACCTGTAGGGCAGGCAAGGGGAAATTTTAAGGTGCAAACTCACTGATGTAATAATAAAAATACTAGTAAAAATATCTTCAAAATTGCCAGAATCCTGTATTTGCAGAGGTTTGGTATAAGAGATGACCAGTCTCTGAAAGGATTTACAGTTAGAGAGAAAACTGGTGCTTTAAAGTAAACTCAGCTCTGTGTTGGTGCTCCCTGTAGTTGAGGCAGGTTCTTCTCCCATGAGAGCCAAACTTATGGGGACAAGTGTAAGGAACCGTCTCAAATTAAATGACAATAAAATACATTTTAGGACTAATTGATAAGATGAAGAGTCAGAAATTACCAAGACCATCTGGTAATCACTCAAGAGCTCAGAAGGAAAACAAATACGCAATTATGGAGCTACAATAGTGTGTAACATGTCACTTAAATCAGTGTCCCTGCAGGAGGGATGGGAGATGGGAAATGTGACAACAATCCCTGAGAAAGTCCCCAGGAACCAAGTGGAGAACTGCAGACAGTCACACTGGAGTCTGTGCTGAGCAATGAGGAGAAATTGTAAGGGAAAAAAAGCAGAAATGGATAAACCCCAACATATTAGGGAAAGTTTTTCTGCTGAGGAACCACAATTCAAAAATTTGTTAGAGCTCGTGGAAGGGTCCTGAGGGGGCACTAAGACATCTTAGTCATAAATACATAAGAAATGATCTGGTGGGTCAGACCTCTGTGTCTGCAGTGCTCACCTTTCCAGGCTGTGACCATAAAAATCACAGAATCACAGAATAATTAACGCTGGAAAAGCCCTCCAGGATCACCGAGTCCCCCCTGTGCCTCATCCCCACCTTGTCCCCAGCCCAGAGCACTCAGTGCCATGGCCAGGCCTTCCTGGGACACCTCCAGGGGTGGGGACTCCAAACCTCCCTGGGCAGCCCCTGCCAGTGCCTGAACACCCTTTCCAGGGAGAAATTCCTCCTGCTGTCCAACCTGACCCTCCCCTGGCACAGCTGGAGGCCGTTCCCTCTCCTCCTGTCCCTTGTTCCCTGGGAGCAGAGCCAGACACCCCCCCCCGGCTCCCCCCTCCTGTCAGGGGGTTGCAGAGCCAGAAGGTCCCCCCTGAGCCTCCTTCTCTCCAGGCTGAGCCCCCCCAGCTCCCTCAGCTGCTCCTGCTGCTCCAGCCCCTTCCCCAGCTCCATTCCCAGCTCTGGACTCTCTCCAGCCCCTCAATGTCTCTCTTCCATGAGGGCCCAGAACTGGACACAGGACATCAGGTGCAACCTCACCATGGCCTCACCATAATTTTGTAAGTCTCACTCATCCCCCTTGCTGCCTTCTCTCCAAACTGAGAAGCCCCTTTAGTGTCTCTTCCAAAGCAACAGCTAGAAATCAGTATAATGTGGTTGATGGTTCTTGACAAAACTTGTAATTGAGCTGTAAAATCCCTTGCCATGGGATATTATGGATGCTCCAAGTTTACTTGTGCTCGGGGGGTAACAGAAGAAGTTAATGGAGAGGAGTTAAAGCATAACCTGTTAAACAGTAAAACCAGGCATTGTGACTCAAAAAGTCCCAAGACACATATTGTTGGAAAACAGAGTAACATTCCAAGAAAGCACCGCTGCAGGCCTGGTGTGTTCCTGAACTCCTTCCCCGGGCATCTGGATTGAAAAACAGCTACTGGAGCAGAGGAACCTTCACTCTGACCCAGCACAGCCTTTGTTATGTTCTGTCAAAAGAAAATGAAACCCATCTGTGGATGTAAACACTTGTGATGGTAGCGGTGAGCACAGTCAGCACGAGCAGGGAAGGCTGAACTGCTCTCCCCACTCCATCAGCAAACAATGCATTTTGATTTGAATGCTAATGAAGAGCTCACCACGATGCTGCAGAGTCTCATCCAGCAATATAAAGAGAAAAGCTGCATGGTAGAAATAAAGAGAGGGGCTTTAGAAAGGGATGAATGTGTGCTGTAAAGATTGATGTCGTTAACCACTCCTGGGTCAAAATATACTTGAAGCTACTGATGTAATTTGAAGTGGGTAAACCAGGCTTAGGAAGAAAGTTTTCTTACAATTGCTGCATCTGTTATGATCTGAAAAGGAGAAGTTTGTATTTCTTGCATCCCTTTAACTCCAAATGATCTGGGCTTTGTTGTCAAAAAACAGCTCCTTCCACAGGCATCTAATCGAGATCTCTTTTGCTTTTTGGATCAGAGCTGAGACAAGCTTCTTTTACAAATTTGTGCTGCAGTCTACTAAAAGAGCTGTTCCTTGCCAGGAGAATATTACATACAGTTCTGAGAGAAATGAACAGAGTCAGCTTGTTTGAGAGCTAACTGATGCTTACTCACAACTCTGATAAGCCTGACATTTACTGAGAAGTGCCACAATTCTCAGTCCACTAAAAATTCCCAAGAGGATTTTT